GTGTTATTGGAAGTGATGATGGCTGTGTTATTGTCTCTGAGAATGGTGGCAACTGTGTTACAATAATGGATAGAGAAGGAAAGAAGATAAAGTCTTTTGGAGGAGGAAGTGGGAATGGCGATGTAAAATTTTCTAAACCTCGTGGTATAGCTGTTACTAAAGACAAATATCTTCTTGTGTCTGATAATCATAAAATCCAGAAGGTAAGTATGGATGGAATGTCCCTAGCTTCAGTTGGTAAAAAGGGCCCCAGGTCGATGCAATTCAATTGTCCCGATTCCATAGCCATTTCTCCCATATCAAGACTGGTCTATGTTGTAGATAATGAAAACGATCGTGTACAAGTCTTCAATCCAGACCTGACCTTCTCTCATGCCTTTGGAAGTAAAGGATCAGGCAATGGACAGTTCCAGTCCCCACATGGTATCGCTTTTGATGTTCAAGGATTTGTATACATTACCGACAAGGATAATCATCGTGTTCAAAAGTTTTCTCAAGATGGAGGATTTGTCACTCATTTTGGTAGCAGGAAATCTGGTCCTGGTCAGCTTGAGAGTCCAGTTGGCATAGCAATAGACACTGGAGCTACTGGTCTAGTGTATGTTAGTGAAAGAGGCAGTCATCGTATCTCTGTCTTCACTAGTGATGGCGTGTTTGTTCGTAGTTTTGGAAGGAAAGGGAGTAATATTGATCAGTTTATTAATCCTTACGGTATGGGATTTGGTAATGATGGATCTTTGTATATTTGTGATTTTAGTAATGATAGACTTGTTGTGTATTAATGATATTATTTTTCTCAGTGCTGTGAGACAATTCATTATTTCTGTATAGCATGTCTTTTGTACCTACTTTTCTTTTGTGTCAATAATTTTAGTAAAATTGAGCAAAAATTCATTAACTGAATCACTGCATGTTTTTTATGCCCATCGCCTGAAGCATATCTATGTTACTCAATGTGCATGTAGAATTATGGTACACAGATTCCCAACAATTATTCTAGATCTTTTTGTCGCATAATGAGATTGACATTAATGCCTTCAGATGAGATTAAATAGGTGAATTGCTTATGATAATTATTCATAACATCATGTTTCTTATGAAAATTCTCGAGCAATATGGCTATTTTGACACTTGATTTAATGCTATAATCAAATAGTGATCACTGTTTTATTGTTTGCATGTTCCATCAAAGTGTATTCTCATACATTGTAAGTTGTTAAATGCCTTGTACACTCTATTGGAATACTTATGATCACTATGGCTGTCATTTTGTGGAGTTGTATATACTGTGTATTTTTTATGTACCTTGTGTATTAACTGAGAATGATGATACAACATTATATCATTAACCATCTTTTGGGACTGAATCCCTAACTGATGATTTGTATTAACTGACTCAGTTTATTACAATGTACTAACAACTAGCTTTTTTGTCGGCTACATGTACATGTACATATGCATGCATGTATTGCTCTCATTTGGGTAGGTGATTTTTGGGCCATTTTGGCATTTTTAATAATGGCTGTAACTCGAAATATTGAAGTCAGAATTAGCTCAAACTTTCTATATAGCATAAAGACATCTATATGTATTAGAAAATGTCATAAAAATTTGGGGTTATTTTGGAGCCATTTTTTGGGAAAAACTATGGGCTATAGCTGAAGGAACAAACTTTCCTTTATTGCTTTATAATCGTCATTCCTGCCCTTATATGTACATGTAATTGTCTTAAAATTTGATAACCATTTTTATTAACGAATCATGCTACATGTCTATTCACTTGTTTGAACTGTATCAGTACCATAAAATTTGCCGTACATTTGATAACCTTATGGTATTTGTTATTTTCAGGTGACTGATACTTCTGGTAAAGCAAAGAGAAGTGCCCACCCAACCTTATTCCACATACACTGGAAGAGGATCATACTGGATGAAGCCCACATTGTTAGAAATTCTAAATCAGCTACTAGTGAAGCTGGTAAACTCAACTTGTATTGATTGTATAAATAGTACAGTATATGTACATGTATATGCATACTAATTACTAATCAATATTACACAGTAGACCATGGAGGCATGTAAATCATCAAAAATGACGAGGAGAGATTTCTCCATTTTTATAATTTTTCCTGCTGATACATGTACAATTTTTTGTTGTGTAGCAAGTTTGAGCTGAAAACAATCTAAATTAGATTTTTTATGAATTTTTAAATCACTCAAAAATCAGACCAAAGTCCCTGTACTATAGTACAGGGTTAGTGGCCAAATTCCGCCAAAATTGACTAGGAGAGAATTCTTGATTTTTATAATTTTTCCTGATACATATACATGTTTTTATGTTGTGTAGAAAGTTTGGGCTGATTTTAATCAAAATTAGATTTTTTATGAATTTTTTTTTAATTACTAAAAATCAGGCCAAAGTCCCTGTACAGGGTCAGTAGCCAAATTTGCCAAAAATGACTAGGAGAGAATTCTTAATTTTTATAATTTTTCTTGATACATAATACATGTTTTTATGTTGTGTAGCAAGTTTGAGCCGATTCCAATCAAAGTTAGATTTTTTCTGAATTTTTTAAAACCATTTTTTTGTACAAAACATTGACTATAGCAAAGGGATTTTTCAGCAATTGGCCTATTTTTAACTGTACATTATATCATTTTTTATTCTTTCCTGTCTCTCTCTTAGTTGATATCATCATTACTAAACTGTCTCTCTCCCTAAACCATGGTTGTTGTAAATACAACAAAGAAGGTACACAATGTATACATGTACAGTATATCCTTTGAATTAATGTATTTTTTTAGTTGCCAGTTTAGAGAGGAAAGAGAACTAGAAAAGTATGTATATGTACATGTATTTTAATAATTATTGATATTTAGATTTGACTCTTAATCCTAAGCTACACTTGCCGCACCCATACGAATTTTATTGGTAACAAAAACGTTCAAAATTATTATTAATTTCTTATTGTTCATATTAGCTTCTGAGTTTGAGCTACTGTTGTATTAGCTGAGCAGACTAAAATACATGTAAGCGTGAGTAAATACTCTTGAAGTAAGTTTAGTTTTTATAATCCTCTTCCTTTTTCTCCCCTTCTTTCTCTTTTGTAGTATCCAGTGATTATTAAAGATACTCCTCATTATAAAATCTGGTACAAGGAGGATAATATTTTTGATCTCCCTAAAGGTTCGTTTGTCTATCATTCACAGCTAGTGTATTTAATTATTAATTATTTCTTGTACATGTACATGTGTAGCGTCAATTTGTGTCTCATTTGTTGCTCTGAGTGACTTCCAGTTGGCATTAGAAATGTGAGTGTGTACAATACTATTTCATCATTGCTATACGCACATGTATTATTATTATTATTAACAGATTTATTCACTCTATTGTTTGATATGGGTATAATGGAGCAAGGATACAAAGCTACTGCAGCTGGCTATGAGTAAGAACTAATTGTTTTATTATTATTATTATTATTATTATTAAAATTGGATATTTGTTATTAAGTATACATGTATCATACACTGACCTATCATTATGTATGCATGGTTTCACTACAAACTGCATGCCAGTAAGTACATGTACATGTATTATTTATTGAATTATTTGTTAATAGGATTCATTCCAAATGTTGATCAAGTTTATGTCAAGTTTTGAAGCTCCTGAAGGACATTGTAATACAGCAAAAGTATAATTATTTACATTTATTTATTTGTTTGTTTATTTATTTATAGGAGCAGCTCAATCAATCCTATTCTAATTTATTACTAAAGTCAATTAAATACGGCAAGTGTATTTACATGTACATGTACATTGTAGTTTGCTAATAATTTATACAATGTAGTTTATAAATTAATGTAATTGTTAGGTTTCTAAGATTATATTTACTTGAAAAGGATCACATTCCTATTACTCATTGATTGAAATATTATCCAAACTAAACCTTACCCATTATAATGTAAGTGGTACGTATCATGTGATCTCATCTTGTGACCATATGTCATGTGACTATCACTGGTAGGTTTTTGTTAAGACCCTTTGTGAAGAGTCTTTCCTTGAAGTGCTTGTTTATGCAGGGTAACATCACTGCTACTCTGAGTATACTGAGTTTTGGTTATTATAGGGGTGAGTGCAACTGATGAAGTTCCTGTGCAGGTGGGTGTGGTTTTGAGTAGGAGTGGCTTTTAATTATAAGTTTCATTTTATGTCATTATGCTACGTAGATAGTTTGAGTTGCTTCATTTTCTTAATTATGAGCATTTTAAAAAATGAGCCGGTTTTTTGAAAAATACTCAACCCCCAATCTTTATTATGTTTTCTGATACATTGATGTCCTTATGCTTTGTAGAAATTTGAGCTGTTTTTGACAAATAGTTTTTGAATTTTGAGCATTTGAAAAAATTGGTCAAATTTTGAAAAATACTCAAGGCTATAGCTCATGCTTTTTTCATGAAGTGGCTTTGAAATGATCCTTAATTTTTATTACATTTTTGATACATATTAATGTCCTTATGATGCTTGAGCTAAAACTTTTAGAGTAAAAAATGAGCCAATTTTTGAAAATGCTATGATGATAACTTATGGTATTTTTTGAAAAGTGGCTTAAAAGTCTCTTCCAAATTTTACTACTTTTTTGATAATTACATGTATTGTTGTCTTTTTGCTACATGTAGATCTACTTGTACATGTAGAAAGTTTCAGATAAAAAAATTTGAGTTATGAGCATTTTATAAAACAAACCAATTATGTATACAAATATTGTATAAAGTGCAGCTCATTATCAGAATCTGTCATAAATTAATATTGTAGCCTCATTTTTTGTCGTTGTTACTCTTTTCACCCCATCTTCTCTCTCTCTTTACAGTTAAAGCTATGGGATGAAATGGAGTGTTATTAGGTTTACCAATCCATGCACTAATTACAGTACATACAGGTTAGTACATGTACATGTAGAATTAATTCAATGTTACATTATGTACACATTCTCTTCACTTCATTCTCTCTCTCTCTTTCCATTGTTCACATTGTCCTTATTGTCTCTCCCTAGCTCTCTCAAAGGATAGTAATTGCTGGTTAGTTGATTAGAGGCTAGTGGAAAGTGAATCGCGTTTAAAGTGTAAAGAAGTGGCTGGCAATGAGCATGTTTGGACTACTGACGATTTAAAGCTAACAAATACAAAAAGTTATTATTTTTACAATAAATTTTGTACAATTACATATATTATTATGTTTACAATAATAAAACTATTATTATTATTATTCAATCATCTTTGGCTCTTATATTCTTCCTCCAGTTTATCAGCAAGTGCATCAGCTCTTACATTACCTTCTTCTCTTAGTATTTCCAGAAAATCCCCAAAAACTTTTCCTTTCAATTTTATTGTTACTTTAACTAAATTAAGGAGCTTGTCCATCCTCTCATCAGCTGATAGTACAGTGTGTGTGTCTGTTGCTTCCTTCCTCTCAGTTTCATTTATTATTTTCTTTGATGATAATTTATTTGCAAGAGAAACAAGACTGATCTGTGATTCTTTTATTAGTGGAATGTTGTCCATCATCACTTTATGAGCCACATCTGATTTATACGCCACT